AGCGGCGGGGAAGGAGTGAACAGTTACACACACCCACACACACACACACACAGAGATACGATGCAAACAGCCGCTTGCAAGAGCACCCTCATAGCCCACAACTGCCGTGTGGGGGAGAAAACAAACAAATATATATATATATCTTGTTAAAGGACGACTCCATGCGGCGGAAATTAAAGACAACCAGAAGGAAGAGTGATACACAACAACAAGAGCCGTCAAACAAACCTTCACCACCACAACAACAACAATAATATAAAAAAAGGTGTAACCAGCCTGGGATACGTGGGGTGGGAGTGAGACACACATGTCGTACCCGCACATCGAAGAACGTAGAACTCAACAACTGAAATGCTGACAGAAGCGCATTAGCAAAAGACGAGGTGAGAGATGAAATACATGGGGTGGGATGAATATTATTTGATTAGATACCACACCTACTCTCATTCTAGCCACTTTACTTCCCTCTCTTCATTTGTTGCTTTCTTTTTTTCTTTTACACGACCCCTCCCACTTCTCTCCTCCTTCCCATATTCGCCTTCTTACTGCCCTTGTAAGCATACCAGCCGCTGCTCCCGCGCGGCTACAAGCAGCCGCGTCCTTCTGGGTACCGCAGACGTGCGTGTGTGATGCGAGGGCGTACTGGGTTTGTCCTTACAATAGAAAAGAGGAGGAACAAAAAAAGAAAGATCCTAAGCAGCCGGCATTCTTCACCATTCATCATACACGGGCGAGTTGTTGGAATGCGGATACGCGCCCATGAGGGAACGCGTCTCGTCGTCATCTTCCTGCCGCTGCGTCGTCTCGCGAACAGAGGCCGCCCACTGATCCAGGGAAGTCGTCCTTGCGTCACCGCCGCGGCTCCGCTTTTGTGGCTCGGGGGTGCGGGCATTCAAAAAGTGGCGCATGACGTAGTTATCCACAGACTTGCGCAGGCGGGCCTCGATGTCCTTGGTAAACGGGGCGTTTGCGTTGTTGGCTTGAAGAGACATGGAAAGGCCAGTGCGCTCTGACTCGCTTCGTACAGCGCGCTCTAGCAGCTTCTTCGCAATGAGTTGAAATTGGTCCTTGTTGAGCAGTGAGGGTTTGCCGCGGATGCCGCGCAGGTACAGTGTGAGCTGTTCGAGGATGGCCCGCTTAGCCGAGGCACGCCAATCATTCCGCCAGCGTCGCTCGTTGCCGGTCCTCACAGCATTATTATTATTGTTAGTAGTCATAGCATTGGTGTTAGTTTTGCTTACCGCGTCGTCGGCATAATCGCGAACCACGGAGGAGGCCCGCGACGACGCCCGAGACGTCGATCCCGCACGGCTCGTTGATCGCCCCCCGCGCCTTCGCCGCCCAGACTCGTAGGCCTCGCTGCTTTCCCACACCGACTCCTGTGAGGGGAGGTGAATGCTGTGGCTGTACTGCATACTCTGCATCGCGAGTTGCTCTGCAAGCGTGTTCCCTTGCTTGATCTCCCCAATGTCCAAAGCAAAGGTCGCACGTGGATCAAAGCTCGTGCGCAGCGGCGAGATAAGTGGGGCCTGGAAAGTGTCCTGTGCGGCGTCATCGGCGTCATCGGCGTCGTTGGGCATCCCAACGCCTGACATGTAAGGATGACTGCTGCTCGCCTGATACATGGACGTCATCTGCTGCTCCTCTTCGTGAAAGTCGTGAAAGTTGTAGATGTTCTTCGAGATGCGTTGTGGCTGTTGTTGCCGCTGTTCTTGCTGCGTGCGGTACAGGGAGGCCAACTGGCTCGCCGGACCCTTCGCCGCGGAAAGACATTTTAGTGCATGCCGCTCCACCCTGGCGAGGCTCTCGGAATAGCGGCGTGACACAGGCTGGCTCTCACGACGCGGGTCAAGCACCATCGCCTCACGGGACTGCCGCCACTTCTCCATGACACGCGCCACTGGGGCGGTGAACCCGGTCTTTCCAAGTCCGTGTTGCGAGGCCAGCAGCTTCTCCCGGCGCAGACGCTGCTCGCGGTAGCGATGTGCCAACTGATGCGTCAGCTCGCGCGGCACTGCGGTAGAGGCGTGCACGTCTAAAACAAACGCCAGAGATGCGTCTGTGAAGGTGGAGACGTTGCCAGCGGCAAACGTTCCCGCACGCCTGCGTTCACGCCGCTCGGGCGGCTTGTCCCGGAGGTGGAGGTGCTTTTTAATGACTTCTTCAAGATCAAACGACGACTGAAGGCTTTCCAGGCGGCTACGCAGAGACGCTGCCTCCTCCTCAAGCACCGTAGCGTCGGTGCCATGCGCGTCCCCTGCGGGACCGGCGGCAACCGCGTGGTACTCCGTCGCCGCGTCCTGTAAAAGATGCTGGACGTACGCCACTTCGCCGCGCCACCGCAGCAACTGGCTCTCCACCAGGCGAACAAGCTCTAATTCCTGCATATTCACAATACGGCCACTATCCACTGCCTCTGCAAGTGCCAGGCGGTAATGGTGGCGTATCTCCGTAAGAAAGGGCCCCACAACGGAGCCGCTATCCAGCGAAGCGGGGTACGTCTCAGATTGCCGCTTGTTACTGGTTCTGCCATGGCTGCCTCTGCCGCCACTAGCGCGTAAGGGTGTAGTGATGTTAAGATCCTCCGCCATATCTTTCCAACGACTTCGCTGCTCTTCCTCCTCCTTGTTCTCCGCACTGTTACCTGGTACACTATCCTCCACTTCTTCTTCTTCCTCTTCTTCTTGCTCCTCAAGACGAGTTTTCTTGCCCCCGCTTCGGGAGTGAAGCTGCAACAAGGCATTCTCTTCCTCCTCATCCTCGGTGTCCGCCTGACGCCTTCTATTTCGTTTAGTATCATCCACGGTCAACGTTGCCCCCAACAGCGTGTCTTCTTCTTCCTGTTCCTCCGCCCTTCTGCTCACGGCGAGCGGCGCCTCCTTGTGAGACTGTTTCGTTCCACCACTCTTCCCCTTCTTCCTTGGGCCATCCTTCACCATCGCCTCTGCATATTCCGCTGCTGCGTCCTCGTGGGCCGCCGCTTCTGCCCCGGCGATGATTTGCTGCGCCACAAGGACACCCGCCGCGGCAGCGGGATGACTTGTGCGGGACGTGTCGTGCGGATCGTAGGGAGACGTGTCGGCAATCGGCACGACGGCGCCGCTCTCGCTGCCAAGAAAGTACACAAATACATGGCCGCTCTCCACTGGCATCGGTGCGTCGTCGTCCGGCACAACCAGCGAGGCGTAGTACACGCCGTCGTACTTGACCCAGCGAAGCGACTCGGTTGCGGATGCCATTTTGACTTCAGAAGCGGTTTATTTTTATTTTTATTTTGCCCCAACGGATATTTATTCGACCCTCCCCCGTTTGTGGCCTCCGCGCGGGGATGATGTGAGCCCCCCACTTCCTTCCCTCCACACACGCACACGCACACGCACACGCACACACACTCCTCCTCACCCTTGCACTATTTTATTGCCTCTTGCGCCTTCGCTGCGGCTGTCCCCCCCTCCACCCACCTTCCGCAGCCAAACGGTGTTTACTCCCTCCTTCGTTTCGAGCACAACGTACGGGGAGGAGGGGCGCGAAAAGAGCAAATAAAGCGGAGCCGGCAGAATTCGCAGGGAGGCGGCAAAACAGTGGGCGTGGAGAAGCCAACAACGAACAAAAAAGGGAGCAGATAGAAACAACCATACATAAACACAGCTGTAGCAAAGATAGATAAATACGAAAGGGTTTTTAACACGGCTCCTCTTCGTGTTTGTTTTTCAGTTCCAGACGCCTTTCACCTGCCTTTACTGCAGCACACAACAACATTAGACGCTGGGGCTCCCTATCTCTCTTACTCTTTCTATTCTCTTTTATTCGTTTGCGTTTTTTCCCGCTCTCTAACGGCGGTGCAGGGATGGGGTTAGATCGGAGGGGGGGGGGCACACAAACAAATAAATAAATTATTTTGAATACTCCACCGGCATGAATAGATTGACGGAAAAGGCATTGCCGCGCTACGTTGTTGTTGCTGTTGTGTTGTGAGGGCTGACACTACGAAGACGATTGCCACCCTCTTGCTCCTCTTGCCGCTGCTGCTGCTGCTGCTGCGGCTCCCCCGGTTCCTCCTCCGCCGCATGCCCCTGCGCTTGGTGCTCCTGGTGCTGCGGTTCACCGCACGCCCACGTGTCGTCCTCATCGTAGTCAGGGCTAAGGGCATATTCTATCGGAACCATGAGAACCACCGCCGCATCCAAGGCCTCGTCGCGCTGCCTTTGATCCGCCAACCACCTCTCAACCTCCTCCACGGATTTGTGCGCCTCAACGGCGATCGCGTTGGCGTGGATGCCACGATGCAAGACAAACGCCTGCGGTGAGGCGCGGTACTCGCGACGGCTCAACGGATGCTGATAAACGGGGTTTCCCCGCGGGGGTCGAAAGTAGTATAACCCATTCGAGGAGCTCAGGTTGCATGTCCAACCACGCAGGAGTGGTGGAAACGGATGGCCGCGTGGTGGGTAGCTGCTGAGTTTGACCAGCTTGCGTTGCAACTCGGCCGCGTTGCACGAACTCCCGCGTGCACGTTTGCGGGAATGGTGATGATGACTGTGGGGCCGGTGACCCTCGCTGCTCTCACGTCGACGCCGACTAGACCTTCTGCTGCGGTCGTGGCCACCACGCCGCCCCGAACTTCCACCGGCACGATATGTAATCCTCAGCAGCGCCAGAGTGGCCATGTCGAGCGCCTCCACGCGTATTCGCTGATCTGCCAACCAATTCTTCGCCTCTTCCTCTGTAATTTTCACACCATTATCCACCGAGCGAGCTGCTACCAATTCTCCCGCGGGTGCTGTAGCCCCAACCTCCTCCCCCTCCTTCTCCTCCTCGGTTTTATTGGTGTTAGTGTGGCTATTATTCGCGTACGCAAGGACATCAGCGAGGGTGGCGGTTACACCAGTTTCCTGCAGGAAGGCCTGAGGAGTCGCCATGAACTCTGCCGCGTCCGTCGGATGCTTGTAGGTCGCGGTGCCTTTGGCATTCTTGAAGTAATAGTGCCCGTACGAGCGGCTCAGTGCGCTCGTCCAGCCTGTCGGCAGCGGGGTAAACGGGTCGCCCAACTGCGGGTAGTTACGCATGGCCGCCGTCCACGCCGCCTGCCAGCCGCTTTGTGGGTCAGACGGTTGTTCCTCCTCCCCTTGCTGCCGGTGCGGATGGTGCGGATGGTGATGAGGGTTGTGTTGTGGCGCAGGAGGCGCCAAAGATGACATCACCGGCAGCGTTGGCCGCGCCAGCTTGGCCTCCACCTTCTCGTACCGCCTCATCGGTGGAACCGCCGCGAGGTACGCATCCCGCAAGCACGTGTACACTTCTGCCGAGCCAACTGCCCGCAGCGCAGCGTCGAGGAGGTGTACGGCGTCCTTTTCGGTCAGTACGGGCGCGCTGCTGCCGCCGCAGCTGTCGTCACTGTTGGAGGTTTCCACCTGAAGCAGTTTCTGCTCCATTAAACGCAAGAACGCACCGCAGGCGCGCGCCGTCTCATCACTCAAGACCTGACTAACGAGGCTCTTCGAGAAGGCCACGAGAACAAAGTAATATTGATCCCGCGTTAAGGAGGATTGTGGGACGAATAACAAATCCACCAGCTCCGTTCCGTCCAGGAGGTTGGCGTTAAGGTAGAGACGCATTAAAGAGCGGTGGACAGCTCCATCGGCGCTCCAGAGCGTGGCCATAGACAGCTGGGAGGCGGCTGCTGTCCGGGGTTCCTCACCCTTAGCTTGCTGCGCAGACTCCTCCTGCCGCACCGTCTGCAAAGACCGTACAAATGTCTCGAGCGCGTTTGTGGCATTCAGGTACGCTTTTGTTCCAGCGCGCTGTTCTGGGGACATGGCCGCCAGAAGCATGTCAATTGTGTTCCCCACCTGCGAGGTGAGTCGGCGTACCACCGTCGACCTTGTTGTTGTGGATCTAACTGGCTGCTGGGTTGCTGCGGCGTGCTCCAACTCTCCCTCTGCACGCACCTCCGCAGCAGCAGCCTGAGAATTAATATATGCATGCAGCCAGTTGGTCAGAGCCTCCCAGTGACGTATAATACGTTTTACCAGCGGATTCTCCGCCGTTGGCTCCGCGCGCAGCGCCACGGCGACGACGGAGCGCACGACTGCGGCATCCAATAGAAACGGCAACACATATCGTGTCAGGAGCGGAAGAAGTTGTTCTGTCTCATATGACGCTATGGCGGACACAACTTCAGTTCCCTCCGTCGTTGCTAACAAGTATGGAAGGAGAGCGGGCAGTTGCAGACACCTCGTCCCCTCCGCGTTGGCGCTGCCCTGCTCCTGCGGCACCCAATCAGTCTCCTCATCGTTGTTAAGTAGACCTGGTTCATGGGCGAGCAGGGCGGATACGATGCGGCGGCGGCTTTCCTGCACCTCAGGAGTAGAGCTCTCAATCACCTGCTTGAGTTGCAGGTACTCATCCCGAACAAACGAGATGAGGTCCTCCAACTCCGCACTCATATGGGGCACAGTGGCGGTGCATGGGACCCTGGGAAACAGTGTCTCCGAAACCCTTTTCCCCTCGTTAGCAGGTGAGGCGAGCTGCACGGTGACGGCGCCTTCCGTCTCTTCTTCCGTTCCTGCGGGCGGGGGCGGTAGTAGTAGTGCTGCGGACCTTGCTGGGGCCGGAAATATCACCTGCGCCAGCTCCACAACTCGTATGGCCAACTCTTGCACTCTATCTGCCGTCATCACGCGTGGCAGTGGCTGCGACACGTCTGCCATGGGAAAAGAGGGAAGAATACCCATATTAGAGTGCTGCTGCTGCTGCTGCTGCTGAGTCATGCCGCTGTTTTGATTATTAATGTTATTATTTATGAGACCGACGCCAACAGTAGCATAGGGGCTGCCGTACAAGGGCTGCCCGAGAATAGAAGGCATAACGCTCATTCCGTCGTGCATGGGATGCGGATGCAGTGGCAACTGTATTGAAGGGGCAAATGACTGTGTAAGATAGGGAGGCAGTGAGGGCATAGGGTACAAAATACCCCCATTTCCAACTACCGGCATTGACGCCCCCTCTGGAATCCAATACATTTCAGGCTGCTGTTCTTGCTGCTGTGATAGTTCTCCATTTGAAGTCATATCCTCGTTGTTCACAGGCTCTGGAAGCGCACTGGTGGCGTCCTCATCTACAAGCTCAGGATACTTTACGTTTGGCTCGCGTGCCAAGATGTAGCCGTCCGCGGACGGGGGCATCGTACCATACGGCAGAGGCACCGTTTGCCCCACTAATTGCTGGTCACGTATAAGCTGTTGTTGTTGCTGCTGCTCTTGTTGCCATGGAGGCAGCAGCGCACCTCCGCCGTAGTACGGGTACTGCTGCTGGGGTTGCTGCAGGGCGGGCGGCTGCGCATACGGGGTGGGCAATATCACTCCGTCAGCAGCCCGATCATAAGGCCCAGCCGCTTGAGTCGTGCCAGTGTACACCGTAGGCTGCTGTTGCTGCTTCTCCGCATTTACTTGCTGCAAAAGCTCTGTGATGTCGTCATCCATAAATTCCAGGCGCGCTGCTTCTCGCGTCGATGGCTTGTCGATTCCCTCAAAGATATCAATTTCATCCTTTGCGTTGCGGGTCCACTCCAGTGCGCCGCTCTTTGCCACGCGACTGCCTCCGCCGAGGTCGTTGTAAGTGTCCGCGTCATAGTCGTCGTCCTCGGCACCAAATTCAGCCACTTCCCCCTCCTCCTCCTCGTCGTCTTCGTCGCCGCCGTGGCCGCCGCCCTGCAAGCCCCGTCGGCCCCGCCCGGGCTCCCGCCTCCCCTGCCCCACGGCCAACGGGGACCCACCGCGTCCAACGAAGTCATGCGGGCAGTCTGCCATTGTCACAAGCACTCCACATTGCTCAAAGAGAGTTCGCTGCACCACGAAGGAGCAAAAGGGGTTCCACAGCCAGGCGTACACCGTCTCTGGACGCTTCGCCGCCGCGTAGAACACCCCGGGCTCATACCCGGCCAGGACACTAATGTCCTGCGGCGACTGCGTCGACCCCAACAGTGCGACGATGTCCTCCGCAGTGATGCCACGACCATCGTGCAGCGTCATGTAGTAGTCCGTCACACGGAAGGTCGCGTTCGGCGAGTGCTCCTTGATGGGGGCGCCAAACCCGGCCCGGAGACCGACCTTTGCAAATTCCCCCAGCACCAACGATGCCAGCTGGACGTCGCGGCCAAAGGTTAACACAAGCTGCGACAACTCCGTGCCAATCTTTACAAACCGCAGCGAGGTGATGGCGGTGGAGGCCCGCTGGTAGGCGAGGAGGTCCATGACATACTTTACGAGGCTCTTGGAGTACTCCTTGGCCGTCATCCCCTCCGGCACGCTGTTGTCGAGCTGCAGGACAACGCAGGGTGACGGGGTGATGGGGTGGGTGCTCTGAATGGGCTCCGGAGCAGAGGGTGTGAGCCGCAACTCTGCGATGGAGGCCGGCAGTTCGGCGCGCATGCGTCGCCACTGCGGGGGCGGGGTGATGTGGCGGCGAACAATCATCTCGCGGCAGTACTGCAGCACCTCCTCCGCCGACGACGTCTGCCCGGAGAGCTGCTCAGCAGACACCGGCTGCTGCTCCTGCGGCGGCTGCCCCGCGGAATCCGCTCCGCCCTCCAGCGGCGGTGCCGCTGCCTCCATCCCGTCACCCGTCACGGCGTTGCCGTCGCCCGCGTCGCCGTATCCATCGGGCGACGCCACGTACGCCGTAGTCTCCTCCTCCCCATCGCCAGCAGTGGCGTTGCCAGCCGGGAAGGGCTGTCGCTGCTGCTGTGAGCGCTTGAAGGTGTACATGGTTTCGCTTTCACTCGACCTCAAGGCGGCATAGTTTGGAAACAACAACAGCAACAGCAATAAAAAAGAAAAGACGAAAACACGTGCGGACACAGCCCGAGCCCACACACCAGCCAAGCAGCAGGAATACAGAAATGGGGCAGCATAAACCAAGTGTGCATATGTACAAATCGGGAGATATAAGTTAATAAAGAGAACACATTGAATACAAAGCCACTCGTGCATTTGTTTGTTCCCTCACAGATGAGTGAAATACACACAAGTACGGATGTAGACACAGGCAGAATACTATTAAAAAGAGAAAGAGAAAGGGTGTGGGTGCGGCGTTCAGGGAAGAGGAAGCGTCGTTACTCACCCATCTACCCACAGACATATATTAAGGGCTACAGAGGGCCAAGCTCAATGGTCACTCGCTTCTCTTTGCTTCATTATTTACGTTTTTTCCTTTTCCCCCTCTTTTCCCTAATCCTCCTCCTCTCCTCAAAACAACCCCATGTCTGCTGCTGCGATGCACACATGCGCTTACAACGCCATGCACCCGGCTTTATATCGGGCCTGTAGGCATGTTTGGGTAAAGACGCAGACATGCCTGGCAGTCGCGCGCACGTCGCCTTCGCCTCCACCGCGCGCTTCTGCGGGTCTCCGCGCTCCCCCGCAGCCGCGCCACTTCCCCCCTCCGCAGCGCAGGTGACAGAACCCCCCACAGAGCCACAGCCACACACAAGTAGGCATGCACACGCGTCTATATGAAACCAAAGCCGCAGAATTGGCAGCAGGAGCAGCAGCAGCTGCTCCTTTGCCTCTCACCTCACTCAGGCACACAAATCACCGAGGAAAACAAAAAAAACATCAATAGCCAAAAAGATAGGGAACATACAATGCACACAGTCCACCTTGTACTCCCGCTCTGTCTATATTCGCCTCTGGCCTCGCTTTATTACTATCTTTCCCATCAGTGCAGTACACATGCAATGTGGCCGCCGTCATCCTGCGCGTTTTATTTTCTTTCTTCTTCACTCCCCCCCCCCCACAGCCCTCGCAGCCGTCTTGTTCACTGCCACAGTCCCTGCACGCGCGCACCGCCACTGCAGCCACACCCACCCACACACACGAGAGGGGGAATGGGAGAAGCGAGTGCGTGAAAAAAGCGGTAAGCACAAGAATTACCGTAAAAAAAAACGAAGGCAAGAGGAAATGGCGCGAGTGCGTGGCTGGGGAGGGCGATGCGCAGAACGTATAGGCCCATCGGTCTTGGGCCGGCATGTGTGCGGTTCGGCAACAACACCCGCACCCCGGCGGGCGGCGAGAGACGGACGGTGGCAGCGCTTAGAGAGACGTGGCAACGCCAACAGGCGGGGCGAAGCCAAACAGACATCAACGAAACAAAAAGACACATGCGAACAAAACAAACCAACGACCCAAGTGAGAGGAAGAACATTTTGTTGCTCGCACTATTCCCCGTGCACCACAGTCGCCCACCGCCTTGTGCTCAACCAAAAAAAAAATAATAAAAAGAACACACACACATAAGTACATACAGAAGGAGTGATATCGAGAACGCCAAACAAAAAAAGTAACCTGCACTTCTCGCTCTCTCTCTCTCCTTCTTCACTGCCCCTCTCTCCCTCCCGCCAGGTATATACAGTTCAGCCGCAGTGGGCGACTCTATCAATGGCGAGGATGTGTAACCCCCAATGCGGTACTTTTTTTTTTTTCAAATCCTTCCTGTTTACTTCAATGCATGATGGTCGCGCACCAAGGTGAAGTCTTGCCTGAAGCACCCTTCTCGTCTGCAGCCGGGGGGTCCTCGGGGCGTCTCTCTCGTCTCTAAATGAGACACACAACAACGTCTAGTTTACAGGCCCCTTGCACACATTTCCCTTGTGAGTTCCATGAGTACGGGGTCACATTCCCCTGTCTTTCTTCGCATCTTGCTGTGTTTCCACAGCACAATTTCGTTTCACCAAGCTTCCCTTCTTTGCTTCCTCGCTCTATATTTATATGGACATGTGTATACGGTCATGTATTTACACACAGCCCAATTCGTGCCCCACCAAAAGCTTCGGTCACGGCTTACAGTACATGGCGACGGAAGAAGAAGCATGTCCACATACTATGAGCTACGAGCATGTAACGTATACACATTAAAAGAGGAAAGAGAACAAGGGTGAGCCCCATGTTGCTGTCAATGCGGATAATCCAGCTGTCACTTTCACACAACAATGCATGTGAACGTCCTACTCACCGAACTCCATTCCCTGCATTTGTCTGTATGCTTACTCCTCGTTCAATTCCCGTGTCAGTCTCTACAAGGGAAGAAAACGCGCCCCTGATGCGAGGGGTGAGAAGGCGCAACACAGCATCCACTGTAACGCCTCACTCTTCCCAATGAGGGAGGCACCATCCTCTAGGACATGCACCTCACCCGTAAGTGGCTCCTTTGTTAGCGCAGACTTAAGCTGAATCCCATCCTCAACACCATAGCAGGGCGCGGAGGTGCCGAGGGTTGCACAACTCACCTCAACGGAATGCGGGGAGTAGGAGCCGAGCACCTGCTGCACCTTTGAGAGAAGCGTCATGACTTGACTGTCTCCATCGGCCAGTTCCCGAGCCTTGGTAAAGGTGGGATTCAGAAATTTTGGAAACCTGTACACCTTGACGCACATCAACGATGTAAGCAGAAAGGCCTGGGCGAGGAACCTTCGCACGGGCGGAGGATGTGCGCCACTGCCGGCAATGACCGTTGGGAAACCTGGTGACATTGTCGACGCGGCGCCGGCCACAGTTGTTTGAATCGGTAAACTCACATAACATGTGGCAGAGAAGGCCTGCTTCAAGTAAAAGATGGCGTTTAAGCTGTCGATGTCTTGCAACGCGGCCTGAAGGATGCTGTCTATGAAGTTGCTCATCGTTTGCAACAGCTCCTCATTCGTCACGGCTCCTATAGGCGTTTTCGCTGACACCGCCATGGCGGCCAGCTGATTAATGGAGCCAAGCCCATCAGCGGCGTGGTTCCGCTGGATACTTTCCGCATCCAACGGAAGTCGAAGGCGCTGGCACTCGGAAAGGACCTGCTCTTGAAACGCCTTTAGCCGGTCGTTCACACACGCAGGGCTGCCGCTAGTGTTCGCCAACCGCGCCCTCTCCTCGGCCTGTTGGTAAAAGGCAAATACCGTCGCGAGACCGTCGTAGGGGTTCGAGTGCCGTGTTGCGCAAAGCAGCGCCGTATCCCACTGCTGCTGCCGACAAGACTGCAACATGGAGAGACGATATCCGGCGTCGATGGTCGTCTGGCGCTGCAGCGGGACCGTGTGAACAAGAAGGTGTGCAATGACCACGTCTCCGCCGTAGATGAGTTCCATGACAGCGTCATCGTTGGCGCCGTCTACAAGTTTAGCTGCGGCAAGAATGCGGGAATTATTGGCGTGCGCCAAGGCAGTGGCGCGGGCAGTAAGCAATGCTTGCACAGCAGAAGAAACACCATTTGAGTCCACTGTCGTATTGTGCGGAGGCTCAGTACTTGCCTGCGTCATATGCTGAGGACACGTCTCTGCAATGACGACGGCCAAATCCCAGTTTTTATCAGACTGACGAGCAACAAGACGAGCGGCACGGGCACTCTCCTCCGCCATAATGAAATAACGCACAGCACGTGCGTTTCCAGCAGCCTCCATCGCCTCTGCCGCCTGTAAACAAAGAGAACGCCACAACTCGCGACTAACAACAGGCGCCGCGGCAATTGCACTGTCCCATTCACCCACCTCTGCCAGCAACTGGCAATACTCGGCGACTTTCCCCAGCTGCAGCATAGATTCAGCCGCCTCTATAATACGCGTCCTTTTGTACTCCTCACCCGCATTCGTCACGGTTTTACCGTGCGACTTCTCCACATTTGCTTTCCCCCACTTCCCATGCAGCTCGACAAGCCGCGAGGCGGGGAGAACGGTGCACTTCGCGTTAGAGATGTCCTGTGGGTCGCCAGCAAATCCCGCAATCCGCGCCAAATCCGCCGCCCCGCAGGGAAATTCAAACACTCGGACAATTCGCTCCATTCGTCTGTGGGGTGCAAGGTTGGCCTCCCTCAAATCTTTGATTAACTCCTGCACAACATCACCGGTCACGACAGAGACGGAGGACCCGGAGGAGGCGTCCAACAGAGACGTGCTGTCCGTGACGGTGCAATTTTCCAGTCTGCCCAGCGCGGCATCCAGGTAAACCTGCCGCAGTAGCCCCAAGTGCCAAAAAACAACGGTGGTGTCATGCGACACGGAGGCAAAAACAAGCGGACGCTCAGGGTGCCCACCCAGTGCCACAACCTCCCCATTATGAGCACGGACAGTTGCCAGATTGGCTCCACTACGCACATCCCATAGCCGCACGGTACAGTCTGCGGAGGCGGAGAGGGCAAGATAAGGAGCGATGCTGCACCACGCAATGGCATTGACACAGGCTGTATGTCCACGCATCACACGACATGAAACAGAAGCCGTGTGCGACGTCCCTGAAGAAACATCCCATAGCCGTAATGTGGTGTCCTGACCACAGCTAAGCAGAAAATTCGGCGCAGTCGAACTATATAATACATTTAGCGCTGCAGCAGTATGCCCCGTAAGCACAAGCGTGGGTTCCTCACGGCTGGAGCCGATCTGAAACACGAGGACCTGTCCATCGTGGCAAGCTGCGGCAAGGTGCTTCGTATGCTTTCGGTCGAATTCTATGCCCGAAACAGGGGAAGTTGTCTTGTAATGGCGCACAATCTTACCGTCTCGTGAGGAAAGGACAGCCACACCACCACTGTGTGAGGCCGCAATGTAGCCGCCCGACTCACTAGAGTTCCACGACACACAATTGACAGCACCTACAGCTGTCACACTGACTCCCCAATGTTTTCGCTGTGTACCGACGTAGTACGAAACAACCTCACCATTGCTAAGTCCTGCGGCAATATACTTGCCGGTTAAACTCCAGTCAATGGAGTGCACAATCACACGTCCCACATCAATCGCATGTTGTAACGTGAGTTGTTTTGTGTTCCACACCCGTATCGTCCCATCCGTGCTGGTAGTAGCGAGGTAATCCTTTTCGTGATGGGCGTAGCGACATGCGTGCATTACGTCTGTATGACCTGCCTCCGTCTGCATTTCGATTTGTTGCGTACGCGTGTTGAACACCGCGACACTTCCATTACGCAATGCAATAATAAGATGTTCAGGGGCAAAGGCGGCGGCGCCGAAGACAGCACTTCCAGCAATTGGGTGCCACTCCGCCACCGCCGTGCGTGAGTTTGTCAACCACACTTGCAGCCTGGAGGACTCACCATCAGTTGTCACAAACTTTCCGGTCTGACCAGCGAGCCAAGCAATAGACGTCACCGGCGCCTTCTGCAGCGCAAAATTCTGTACAATGGTGTTAGACACGGTATCTACAATAGCCAGAGCTCCGTCGCGTGAGCCAATGGCAACATAATTGGGATTGTTCGGATCAAACGCCATAGTTGTCACGGGAAGCCAGCCGTTGTCAGTGGCAGCGTCATTGCCGTTGCTAGTGTCGTTGACCGTGTGAGTCTCCTCGGCAAGCGCCGGCGCCGGAAACGGGCGCAGTGACGCATTCTGCCGTAGACCATTGGCTGGATGTATTGAGAGAATGAATAATCCCCCTTCAGAGGTGGCGACAACGATGGAGTCAGGGCGAGACGCGGCGACATCCATAAATGTCACACACCCCACGTGGGTGTCGCTGCTGCCGTTGCGGTTGCCGAGAGGAGTGGTGGGGCTCGGCGTCGGCACGGCCGCTGCGGCGGAGCTCTGGCCGTTCATACAAAGCCGCAGATGATGGGTGGTGGTGCCATCGTTCATGTTCACGGAGACCACCCAGCCGGTTTTCGTGCCGTACAGGATGTGGTGCTTCCCGGCCACCCGCACCACCGACGGACCACCCTCCCGCCGAAAGAACTCCCCCACGGCACTCGGCACGCGCTTCTCGTTTAACTTCTCTCCGTCGACGAGGCGCCAGACAACCGTTTTTGCGGCGGTTGTTACACACACCATGTACTCTTCATTGAAGTGAAAGGAATGAATTGCACCGACGACGCCGTTGGCAAAGATGCGGGTGAGTGGGTAACTAGAAAAGTTCTCATTCTCCGTGGTCGCAGGTGCCCCTGCGGCGGCGGTCGTTGCGATTTTTGTGGGTGTATACATGTAGATCGCCGCCGTGGAGCAGTACGCGATGGCATTGGCGTGGACAATGACAGGAAGAGCACAGCTCTGTTGACACCCACCTGCGAGAAGCGCAACTTGATTGAGCGCCGCCATGCACCGCGAGCACACTGCTGAGTTTACTGCTGCTGTGAGTAGAGCTGTGGCCAACGCCCGCGAATGCAGCCCACACACGCACGCGTGCAGAGCGAGAGGAGGAAGAGAGGAAGCGGGAAAGAGAGACCGTTGTCAGAGATGCAGAGAAGCAACCAGCAGCTGTTGCTGCTGCGCGGCATCGATGTGAAAGAAACGGGGCACCGAGAGGGAAGAAAAGGTGCCCAGGAAGCGAATCAAACTGGCACACTGCCACATCGCACCACGGCGGCAAACATATATATGCGCGCCACAACCTCGAAGAGAGTGCGCGGCAATTCATTTTTATTTTATTTTTCTTCTTTGCGGCCCCTCCGCTCCGTCCTCACTTGCGCTTCTTTCGTTGGCGGTGACTACGCCTCCTGCAACACCCGCTCCAACGCGTCCACACTCCCCGAGGCAGCCACACACCACTGAACGACCTCCAGCAACTTCTTCATCCCCAGCGTCCAGAGCTCCTCAGCCACGTCGCCGTGGCGCACGGGAAAGCCGTCCACCTTGTCCTGCACAATGGCGTACGGCGCCTCAGCCGGCCCCAATGACTCCAGAACAGCCGCGGCAGAGGACACCCACGTCGACTGCGCCGCCGCCTCTTCTTCTTCCCTAAGGCGCCGATGTACGTCGTCTCGGAGCTCAAGTAGGCGCCTTTCCATCCACGCCACAAGCTCCTGCACAAATGCGGCGACAATGACGCATGCGGCACCGAACGTCTTCCATGCAAATAGTTTCTCACAAATGTAAAAGTCCGAGGAGCGACGCGTCATCTGCGGCGGTGACCCGCGTGAAGAGACAACCTCCACGGTACTTTGCTCGCCATTCGGTCGAAGCGCATATTTCTCCAGCGGAATACGGTGATGCACCTTGATGTACTCCAGAAGCAGCAAGAGGTATCCACAGGCCTGATTGATTTCCGCTGCACTCACACTGTCATTGCGGCTCCCGAGGAAGCTGCGTGCGTATTCCTGCTGCATATGCAGCAGGTTCATCAGCACCGTAGACTCGACACTTTTATTCGACTCTGCTGCGGAGCCGGGGCCTGACTGTGGCAAGGAAACAAACTGACGCTGCTGCCCAGTGGAGGAGTGTCTTCGCGACGACGCAGCAGCGGGACACTTCCCAAGCCGCAGACCTGCGATGGTTGCCACAAGGCCACTGGTGTCTACGGGGAATGCCAACGACATCGCGTGCATTTTGGACATCCAAAGGTAACTACAGGCCGCGTGCCGCGTGCGCAATGAGACCCCCGCCGCGGCATCTTCCGCAGCAAAGAAGGAAACCACTTGCTGAGCGTCGTGTTTGGCGGCTGCCATCTCCCACTCGGCCCTTCTTGCCACGCGTTGTCTTGAGAGCGCCGTCAGTTCATCCTGCAGCGCTTGACACGCCTTCGCCACCAGGCGCGACTTCTCGTCCGCCTCCCATACCTCAACCTGCAAACGATGCAGTGACTCCTGCGACACGACGCCGCACTCTGCCGCAGAAACGCACAACAACACGTCGTCGCCAGCTGACGGTTGCCGCCGCCCCAAAGGCTTTTCTCCATGCTCGATGAGGCCCACCTGCTGGGTGAAGCTGTTGTGCGCCACAACGCCTTCCGCATCGCGCTGACGACGCGGACAGAAGCAAAGGATGACGCTATTCGCATCAGGGCTGGCAGACACGGCCGAGAGGGCGACGACGTCCTCCATGATGCGGGTCGTCTCTTTCCGCTGCGTCTCCAGAGAGTCTTTCCAGCAGGAAGTACAGAGCGGAACGTCCGTGCGGCTCTTATGAACCACGAGGCAGAGTAAATTTCGAGAAAAGCTAGATAGGAAATCCTCCCTGGATAGAGAAGCAGGACATGACTTCAGCGGCAAAGAAGTTGCTGTCGTCATGGAAGAGGAATCGCTCGCCGTCCCTGCATGCTGAGCAGCTGTCGTGTGCGCCGCGCCGGGGAGTCCCGCTGCATAAGGCGCCATGTACGTAATTTTCCGTAGATTCAAAACTCGCGGCGAATGTGGCGTTGACTGTGCAGTTATTAAGCCGGTGTGCGGACGCACATTTCCCGCTGAAAAAGGCAAGTGAGAGTGAAGAGCCGCGGTGTCCTCGAAAGGCACAGACAGCGGCTGCGCGTGCGCAACGACGGATGACGATGAATCAGCGCATGCAGGTGACAATGAAGACGGGGATGCCGAACGCGTTGGCTCACACTGATGAGTTCCACTCGGGGGCGAGAGAGGCACCGCCGGCTCCTCCAAAGAAAACTCGGCGCGTTGAACGGTCAGTTGACTTGAGGGCTGAGGCGGTGGAACCGGGCCATCATGTAGCATGCGCCAAAGCTCCCGCATATACACCGCGGGCTCCCCATTCGCCAACCACTCATACTGGTACACAAACAATGGCGCGAGTCGCGTTACCATACGCGCCTGGGCGATTGGTGTGCGTTTCGTGTGCGACGATATCGCCGGAGGTTTGCTTCCCCGCACAACGCGTGGGTCCTCCTTCAGCAGGGCACACCGCTCGTGAAGCCACGGCGAGAGTGGCGATGGGGCGAGCGGGGCGTACTTTCCCGCCGCACTTAGCAGCGACCCTTTGATGGCGGGGTGCAGCTTCTGCCGCCGCCGGGTTTCGTGTAGCTCCCGTTCACTCTCCAAATCCCGGGGTTCCTGGAGGCATGTTTGCTGCGCCCGCCCCTCTTGCCCTAGACATGCCTCTTCAAGTTCGTGGAGAACACGCATGTGACGATCCCGGAGACGCCGCCGCTCGCCTGCTTCATCGTCCAAGCAGCACGACGCCCGGGACGACATCAGAAACCCTCCGACGTGCGACGGTGATGTTGAGAGTGGCGATAACAGGCGTATTGCGGTTTTGGCCGGGAGACGCGTGTGACACGCAACATTTTGTCCATCAAGTTGCACCGTGCGGCGGCACACGCAACATGTGAACAGCGCGCAGACTGGGGCGTACGCCGCGTTGTCGCCAGCCGCCGCGAGAGTCCCGACAACGTTCCCTCCCTCACCCCCCGCACCACGCATTGCAGCGCGTGTGGGGCGTCGGAGTCCAGGCTACTAATATATATATATATATATATATCTATCTATCTCTGCGCGTATGTGTATGGGAGTGCGCAGAGAGGCCGAGCGCATACACCGTGCTTTTCTCCCACCAAGTCCCAGCCCAACACTGCCTCAGCGAGGAGAGAGGGGATGCACGCGCTAACACGTGTCGGCCAAGCCGCAAGAAGCACGCAATATAAAATTAAACAAAAAGGCAAACAACACCCTCACTGTGGAAGTCATGGGGGGGCAGTCCGCTCCTCCGCGCCTGTCGTTCAGCAGAGGGAACGCGAAAGAGCGCGCCTACAAAGCAGAGAGACTCACAAAGGAGGAATAAAGGATATTCACAAGCCGGTTAGCTGGATGCATTTCGATGGCTACGGTGTGGGGTTCTCAGCCTGCGCAAGCCGCAGCCCCAAATCTGAAATAACCCCCCGCACCACCTCGTCCCACTGACCGCCAGCCTCGTCGTCATCGTTGTTGTTGTTGTTGTTTGGGCGCAGGTCCGTGGGGCACGTGGTGAAGTGCGGCGACGACGTCACTCTCACAGACCGCGGGACGTACAGCTGGGCTACGTTGCTGCCTCTGCCGGCATTTACGACTCCGCCCCGAGACGGTGACAGCGGCGGCGTCGGGAGCCGCCAACCAGCATGCGGCTGGGGCTGCGGAAGGTCATGAGAAGGCCGTTCCGCCAACTCCATCGAGAGCGAGCGCAGTTCACCGCGCAGGTGCTGCACGGTTCGCGTCAGCTCAAGTTCCCGTTGGCACAACGCGGCATTCGCCTCCTCCGTCGTTCGCCGGGATTCACGCTCCTTCTGGAGGGCGTCATGAGCCCCACGTAACTGCTCCTGCAGCTGCTGATAGGCATCACGGGCAACGAAGGAAGTGGCGACGTATCGCTCATACTCGCGGAGCTTCTGTGCAACTCCCGCAGCAACTTCCTCGCGTTCCTGGGCCACGCGGCGCAGCTGCTGGCCTTCCTCCTCTGCCACCTGAATGCGTAACTCCTGCTGTCGCATCCGCCTACGCACCTCCGCAAGGGCGCCACGCATAACCCCAAGAACGGCATGAAGCGTTTGTGCGAGCGTTCCGCGGCAAGGCATGTCGCGAAAACCGACGCGCGGCGTAGCCCGACGTCGCAGGGGGCCACCAGCGCCAGCAGAAGTCAACCCCCGTGAGAGATGAGCTCCAAAACAGGGGCTATTCACCTCCGCGTCGGCGTGCAACTCTGCAAGAGCCAATGTTCGCTCCAAAGCATCAGCCTCCTCAGGCTCAGCCGTGCCGCCTCCAGCATGGGGCGCAATAACGCCAAGAAGAGTCTGCAGCGGAGGAAGCTGCACAAATGTCATCTCCGTGCCTCCGCGTTGCCGTCGAAGCGCGGCAGCCACAATCGGAACCGACTCTACAAGGCTAAGTATGTTGTTGGAAGTCAACATCCGCCAGGAGGGGGGCTGCGCCCTACTCGTATAGACTCCACCGCCGTTCTGCCTGTTGGCGCGCCCGCCGCCCTCATTGCTGACAATAAACTTAACACGGCGACTATTGGAACGGGAGGACCCGAGGTGGCGCATACGCCCGCATGCCATCACAACCGTTACAACCGCATACAGTGAGCGTCCGTGGTGCAAACTTAGCACTTGGCCCATCTTTTTCAATTCCAACACCGTCTCCTCCCCGCTCTCCTCCTCCTTTTTTATAAACTCCTGAATGGCTTGCACGGCGGCACGGCAATCAGCTGTTTGCGCTTCATAGGCGCGCCAAAGAGCAACCCGCTCTGCCACTATGCTATTCAGCCGCAGCGTCAACACAGTCAGCGCGGCACACAGTTTCCTTGCGAGTGCATAGAGGACGTCTTGATTCCCTACCTCACGCCGCACCTGTGTCTCGAGGACGTCTGTCATGCGAACCAAATCACCGCATCGACCGCGCAGTGTATTCAAGTCAAATTGTTCCTCACGTGTCAACTCCTGGCGCGCGGCAAGCTTTGTTTTCAGTTCGACAATCGTGCCATCCCGCACGGCTGCCTCCCGTGCTACAGCCTCATACTTCTCGTGCGCCTCACGTAGTTGCCTCTGCAACTGCCGCTCCTGCTTCAACTTGGCCTGAACATCCCGCTCGGCCGCCTCCACTCGCCGCAGAAGAACATGTTGTTCTGTCTCACTCGTACGTGTGGCCGCAGCGAGTTGTGTTTGCAGGGAGGACACTGTCTCGTTTGCCGAGTTCAGAGACGTCTGCAAGCGCCGCACCGTGGCTTGATGCCGCACGCGTTCCTCATGTATGAGCACCGACTGCCGCTGCTTCTCTTCCTGCAGTTTAGCAAGGGCTTCACGCGTTGAACGTGCCTCTCGTAGCTGTCGGGCCGCGCTTCGCGTCGCCTGGTGGGTGCGCCGCACCAACGCATACACCGCTCTCTCATTGGAAGGTTCCAATATCTTCTCACACGTCAAATACCCCTTCGAGCCCAAGCTCCACGCATTTGGTCGGAGTGCATCGGCATCAGGCGATATTATTCGCATGTGTTCTTCGCTCTGCCCCTCGATGTTATCTTCCTGACTGAGATCGCTAGTACTTGTGCCATTCCACTTGTCTTCCTCTCCCTCCTCCCTGCCGTGTGAGGTTTTGGCCCCCTTGCGCCTTCGCACATCGGTGTTGATGGCGGCAAGCACCGTGCGACTCTGTCGTTCCATGGCGCGGAACAGCTGCGTGTAGTGAAGCTCCATGCGATGTGTTTGGTCGGCCGCCGCCTGCGTGGCGCTTTTCATCGCCTGCAGTTCCACGGCATGTGTGTCCTTCATGGCATCGAATCGATCCTGCAGTTCCTTCAGGCGTTCTTGGGACTCGCGGTGCGTTGAAATCGCCGTCTCCGCAACGCCGCTCCACTGCTGCTCCAGACGCCGCAGAAGAGATGTGAGGGCGGCAGGGGCAGAGTCAACGTCCGGCGCATCCTCCCCGTGCACCTCTGCCAGCGGCTGCAGTCGCTTGCCGTCGGCTGCGAGGGCGGAAGTGAGTTGCGCGCCACGTTCTCCCAACGCCATCAACCGCTTCCACGCCGCTGCAACCAAGTCACGTACATCTTGCCGAAACGCCTCCGCAGATTTCCTCACGGCATCCATCTCGGCACACTGCCGCTCCAGCTCCCGCTGCAGCACATGTACGGCAGCGCGGAGCTCGTCTTTTGTCGCAGCATCCTCCTCCTCCTCATAACCATCGGCGGTGTACCTCGCCTCCTCTTCATGAGGGACCGCCGCAGCCGCGCCCACGGTTGCCTCCGTTGCAGCGTGCAACTTCTCCAGTGCGCCGCATCGTGCTCGGCAGGTGGTGAGTTCCCCTTCGACCAGCTCCCTCTCCGCACGTAGGCGCGCCACTTCCTTCTCCAGTCCATCGTGCTGGCGGCGCCACACGGCGCGATCCGCCTCCGCCTGCTGGTGCAACGTGCGGAGACGTCCATTCTCCCTTCGCAGCCCACCCACCTCATCCTCCATGACACGCAGCGCGTTCTCAGCTGCTTGCAGCCCGGCCTTCGCCAGACGCAGCTCCTCAGCCGTGGCAGCGACGTAAGCGCGGTGCTGCTCCTTCGCGTTGTGCGCCTCGGCGCTTGACGCAAGAAGGTCGTTTTCAAGGACCTTCTGACGCTCCAGCGAGGTGTCCAAGGCCGCCTGTAGCGTGCGGCAGCGACGCCTGTGCCATAGCAGTTCCGAGAGCTGCTGCTGCGATTCAGTAAGAAGACTCTCAAGGGAGAGCGGACCGTCACGTCCCGCCGCGATTGTGGTTGTGTCAACCAATGCCTTGACAACGGTGGACGGTGAAGTTGTAGGCGGGGGCCGTTTTTCACTTTGGAACTCCATCCATTTTTTTTCTTCCCGCGGCCTCACTACGGCTGCATCCGCCACAACGGCGGTGTTGCGGGGTGGCGATGTCCATCGCACGGCGGCAGCCCGTTTACTTTTCTCATGATCTCCCAATTTACATGCGGTGGGCACCGAAGCTTGCGCCACTGCCTGTCCCTTCGGGCTCTTTGAAGTTGATGGGGTTTCTGCTGCGAGTGCGTCGCGGCGTGCCTCTATGCCTCCGCAGCAGGACAACACGGACGACGATGGGTTGCCAGTAGACATGCGTTATATATGAATGCCGCACCCCCAACCCACTGTTTCTTTTTCCTTTTTCTTTTTTGTTTTCTTGTTGTTGTTGCTCTTCAAAGTGGTGGATATAACTCGCAGGTAAATGTCTTTCTATCTGTGTCTTTTTCTTATATGTGTATATGCCTGTATATATATATATATATGTGTGTGTGTGTGTGTGTGTGTGTACCTCCCTCACTGGGTTATCGCTCTGAGTGTATGGGCGAAGCGGTCAATTCCCTTCGCCGCCCCACATGCCCCCTTCTCTCCCTCTCTTTATTTCCTTCGCTCGTTGGCTCGCGCGCTATCGCCCCGTACACCTGCACCCACAAAACGGCGAAAAGCGGGAAGTTTCCTGCCACCCACCCCGTCAAAGGCCGTGAGACGGCGAAAAAAAAAAGATAGAGTAAAATACCGACTTGCATGCAGACGCGCGTACGCACAGGCATAGGCGCAGTGCGCGTGTGCCTCGGTGCACGGAGGACAAACGCACCCGCAGCGAAGAATGCTCCCAGAGCCGCTGGCCTACATGCGCGTGCAGCAGCGCACACCTCACGGCCGGAGCAACGAGAGCCACAGCCACCAAAAACCCACCGGCGAAGAGGGCCGGGGCGTCGTAGACGCTCCAAGTAACGCCGCCGGAAGGATGCGAAAGAAGAGGGCGGAAAAAAAAAGCGCGCGCACACACACACACAACGAACAACAACAACAGCACAGGAAAGCTTTTGCCGTATACATTGAGATGAAGTTTTCTCCACCCTGTGCCGCAACACCCTCACATGGAGGAGGTTAACAACAGAAACCCAGCCTCTAAACAGAGGGGGGGAAGGAGTTCTAGCATAGAGAGAAATAGAGAGAGAGAGAGACGCGCTTGCTCCACGCCGTTTACAAGAACAAAAAAACTAAAACAAAAAAAGCACAACACACAGGCACACACATACACACACACATGCAAGGACCAAAAAGCCGCAGCTGCAACAGCGACGATGGACGGAAGGCCAGCAGGCGCACCGTGTGGCGAGGCAGGCACATATACCAGTTACCACCCCATCAGGCGTGGAACTCCTTGGCTTCCCACCTCAGCGTTCGAATAGAGGACGGGGGAAAAAAAAAACAGAACAAGAAGAGAAGTATACAACTTCAAAGAAACTAAGCTAATAAAAAATAAACAAACAATAACCTCTCTTCATACTACAAGAGAAACCCTTCTCTCTCTCCCGCACACACACACACACACAGAAAGAGAGAGAGAGATGTAACTGCCGAGATCTACATGTGTGCGTGCATGTGGGCAGAGTCACAGCTGCAAGCAGGTACCATCTCGCCGAATTTTTCCCTGCCAGCACCGCCACTTAATCCTTTCGCAGCCCGCCTTCTTGTCCGTCTTTTCGTTTTTTTTCGTGGTTTTAAACCTTTTGCACCCGCCAAAATTCGCGTGAATATTGCCCGTCGCTGCCTGCCACTTACTGCGTGGTGGCGCAACACATTCCCCTCGTCCACACCTCCCCTCGCCTCCATGAAACTACCTCCGTCACCTCGGCGCAGGGGCGCCAAGGACAACTCCACTGACACACGCACCGTTCCTCCGCCCTTCAATCGGCCGAGCTCAGCTTTTAATTGCTTCAAGACGCAGCTGTTTTTTTCGTCTCATGATATTCTCCTTCCTAGCTCGCTTATTGAACAAACCGCGGTACGCCTCTACCTCCAGGCGGTCGGACTGACACTCCGCGAGAAGCGTGTGTACACGACGCGTGCCTTGTTGGCTTTCAGCAACGTACTGCCGGCGGAGAAATTGCTCGCGCTCAGAGAGGCGGTCCATTTGTCTTTCCAATGCCAACTGTCGCTGTGTCACTTCTTTTGTCAAGTCCTTGAACTGCAGCGGACGCAGATGCGCATTGGAGGGCGGAATAAGCATCACATTGATCGCCTTCTGTGTGCTGTGAGGCAGCACCAAAGTCTTCAGCTTGTTGTTGTTGTTGTTGTTGTTGTTGTTGTTCGTGCTTAGGTTATGTTTCTGCGGTATGGACGGCATCCGTGTTGTTGTTGTTACTGTTTGAGCCACCGTCGGTGACGTCGTTGCCGCGGCAACATGGGCGGTCATGCCGTTTTGAGCATTCCCGGCGGGGCAGAATGGACCTCGTGGCGAGAAGGAACCAGAGGCGCCGAGTGTCGTCAGCTTTGCGGCAGGTGTGTTGCTGGTCCCCGCTACATTCGCCCCGAGCCGCTCGCCTGCGTAGCATTGGAAGAATGGAGAGGTCAACGGCAGTGGTACCTTCACCGTCCGCAGGGCCAACGAGGTGGGGCGGCCGTCTGCCAGCGACGACCTCCGCTCCGTCCCGTCGGCTCCCTCCGTCGAGAGATCGTCGTCGAGCGGCGGAAGTGGGACCTCCACCAGTAATTCCTCCGTCGGCTGCAGAATGTACTGTTTCACGTGAGGAGCCGTGCGGTTAAGCGGGAATCCAGAGAGAACGCAGACGCCTGTGGTTGCGGGCAACTTTCTCGTCTTGACAGCCCTGATCGTCTGTGGGATGACAGGCAACTCCGTTTCTGCGTTGTCGCCCGCGGCCGCTGCAGCCGTGTGGCGACGACTGGGCTCCTGAAGCGGCAACCCTTTTGGGGCCTGGAACGACTCCTGCAACTTGCCCTTCATGAGACCTTCCGCCAGAGGCGCCGTGGAGGACGGCGGAGGACTCCGCTTCCCCGCAGGAGGCAACTGGCTACCAACCCGCTCCAGCGCATCCGCCTCTCGCACAGAGTTGTTCCCCGCCTCTGTGGGCGGCGCGAGCGTTGAGCCGCACGCCAGCTCCCGATGCATGCCCTCCGTTCGCTCCGCCAACTCGTGCAAAAGGTAGTTGACATGCTTCGCGTAACGATTAAACTCAAGCATGAGGCGATGGTGCCCATTTGCGACCTCCACATCCACATCCTCAAAGCTGTCGTCGTCCAGCGCCTGGACTTGTTCCCCACCCGCCGCAATGGGAGCCAGCGGGTTGGCCGAATTCTCCAGGAGTCGAATTAGGCTCGGACTACTCACCTCCCCACGCGCGTCAAGTGGGGAGCCAGACAATTTTAGGGTCAACGACGTTGTTAAAAGCAGTGTCGACTCCGACACCGACGGCGTGGCGGCGCACTGGTCGCCGCCTTTCAACATCCCGCCTTTCTCTGCAGTGGGTGGCCGCGGCCACCCATTCACCCGCACGTAGGTGGCCACCAGTCCACTGCACCAGAAGTAAAAGATGCGGTACAGATTCACCCGCATGACAGCATTAAAAAGCCCTGCCACAACGTCATTGGGGAAACAGTACACAAACCCGTAATGAACAACGTGCGGTACAATAAACGTAAACGCAGTCAGGACCTCATCTTTTCCTTCTGCCAGTCGCTCAAACGCCTGGCCAAATAACGCCGCGAGACGATGAAAACAACGCTGTGCAAATTCAGCAAGTTCAAAGACTTCCAATTTTACAACGTTAAAGGCTTTTATAGCCTCAGTACACCGCCAAAGAATTGCTGGGTCCTGCTGCAACGATTTTTCGGAGGCTGCCTCCATGACGCTGATGTGACTAATGCTGTTTCTGCTTGGTTGTTGCGTGCTTTTCCTCTTACGCTGCGTACCATGTGAAGCACGTGCACCATCCTCTCCGAGAATGGCGCCAAACTCATGCCGTAAGGTGCGTGCGCCGTCGCTGACACTGGTGTTACCCTCATGGTGTGAGGGCAAGTTGGCGACGGTGGGCACAAGCGGTGGAAGCTCATCCGTCACTTCCGCCTGCAACAGCGTCGTGGACGAGTCCTTGGCAAATTTTGCCGCAGAGTGGGCGCTTTTTGCCAGGATCCTTTCGAGCTGGTCAATGGGCGGCAGCTCCGCCTTGTAGCGAGGAAACGCCCCACGAATGATGCGCTCAAGGTTGACGTAACGACCAATAAGCGTTTTCTCCGCATGCACACGACGTATGTGGGCAATTATGTACCAAAAGTACACGTAAATAATCTCACGGCTCTCCTGAAACTCTGCAAGGAAGCGAAGGATACCCACACCACTCGCCTTGGTCCGCAACTCACCACGCTCCTGTCTTAGCACGTTTTCAATGGCAACCTCAACGGCGAGCGACCTAGGAAAAATGTACTCACTTCCCAAAGTTCCTGTCGCTTCATCAAAGCTTGGAATCTCTAACGAGTAGATGGACTGGGCGTCCTTCTTAAGGCGTCTTTTTCGTGCTTGACGGCTGGGTGTGTGTAGTGAGAAGGAACCATTTTGATTTCCCATCTTTTCCGGCTACTTTCGCAGAGGAACGTCGCCGCAATGGAGTTGAGGCCGAGCTGGAGGCGGTTTTGCTTCCAGGTGGCCGTGTCAATGACACGTTCGCGGCTTCCAACACGGAGCTTGCGCCCCTGACACTGCTGTTCCTCCTCGCGAAATTCCTTGCCGTTATCCCGGTGTCACCCAGCACGTTCTCATTGTACCACTGCGTGAAGGAGGACAACTTGGTGCCCGCCAACTTTTTTACGCTTGCCCCCGTCGAGGAGGCAGGTGTGCTTAACTCCCCCCACAGTGGCGAGGGAACGAGCGACTCACTCTCTTCACGGGCGAGTTGGGAGGTGTCAGCTGAACCTTTTATTGGCAGAGGAGCCAAATCCTCCTCACGGCCCAGGGGGGACTCCGCCGCACCCCACGCAGGGGTGTAGTTGGCGGGGGTTGCTTCCTGCCCCTCTACCTTGGAGGGCTGTGGGTCCGGGGGCTGGACTTTTTGCCGCCCGTCGCCTGCGCGCTCGGTGGCGGCGTGGCCGCGGCCCAGCCCCTCCAGAAACACAACGGCCTGCCGCGCCCGGGGCGGGGAGAATCCGGGCGTGGCACCCCCCGACTCCTCCGCCCTGCGTGGGGGCCACACTCCATGCCTCACCTGCCGTGAGGACTTCTGTGCGTCGTCTTCGTCCGGGGGAGGATCGCGCAACTGCATTTGCGGGAGCCTCCACGAGGTAATTGAAGTCACCTGTTTCGCATCAAACTCGCGTCGGGGTTCACCGTCCAAGAGCGTGCGACCTGGCACGGTTGTCCCCGTACGCGGAGGCCCTCCTCCGGGTGTCCGCGTCAGAAGGGGCTGCAACCGCTCTCCATTCAGCTTCCTCTGCATTTGCGGCGGGCCTTCGTCGGGCTGAGCGGCTGTTTGTTGCTGCTGCTGCCTTGGCGACGACGGGGCTCTGACGGCGCCACCAACTGTCGGGAGCGGAGGGCCATCTCCTTGCGGCTTCCGCACACGCTTTCCCATCCTCCCGCAGCCGCGGCGTCAAGCAAGAAACGAAGCAAACGAAGCAAGAGTCGTGTGGTGGGTCAATTTACCTCCGCTCCGTTCCCTCCCTACACGTGCTCCCTCCCTTGTGGTCGATGCAAGTATGTGCGTATACGCTGGCACCAGACACACTGCAGCCAAGTGTCACACACGCAAGAAAAAAAGAAGAGGGAGAGAGATAACGAGAAACAAAGATACCTCACGCGCATACACACATACATGTGTGTACATATATATATATATATATATATATACCTTCACGCAGGCGTACGCGCGTACGCACACATCGCGGTTGAGAGTGACTAACACCACGGAAGCCACACTGATACGCGGAAATACACACCTGCACACACACACACACACACACCTCCTCGCTCCTTCTCATGCCTTCCTTACCGCCTTCGTCAAAACTGTGCACATCATGAGCAACTAAGTGCATACTAAGGACTCATTACTTCTAACGCCGCCTGCAACGGTCTCTCCAACCCCTCTTCCCCCTAACTCCTGACCATTCCCACCTCCTCACCCTTTTTTCAAACCCCCCCCCAACCCTCCGACGACGTTTATATATATATATATATATTTGTATCTCTCCTGTTTTTTTTTCAAAGCATATTTCCCCTCCTTCTTCGTGCCTGTGGTAGACTCCGACCTCCCCACCATCCTTGGTTGCTTGCTTCGCTCGCCGTGCCTGCTTCTACCTTCCTGGGCCTCCATGTCCCTTACGACGGCAGGGCCCGCGACTGTACCACGAACGACCAGTCACTATTCCCGCCTCCCTGTTTCTCCGATGCGCTTGCACTGAAACGCGGCAAGAGTATCAGACGCATGAAACCGCAGCGCCCGCCAAGACGCAAAAAAAAAATAATAATAATGATAGTAATAACAATAAGTGGCGGGAAATAGGAAGAGCGGCAGAGACCCCGTTGAGCTCAGCATTCAGTTCCGACTTGTCATGTGCTTCCACTCGGACTCGTCGTGGTACTGCATGGGAATCTGCCACGTCGTTTTTGCGCCGTCACGGTTGACGAGCGGCTTCCAGTTCCAGAAAAGCTCGTACTTGGCATGCTTCTCACGCATCTCCGGACGGACCCACTGGTCTAGGTAAATGTCATCCTCCTCGAGCGTTGGGACATTTGGTTGACTCATCACAATGTTACGGAAATGGGACCAGCCGGGCTCCGTTCCCATGGCGCGGTAGCAGCCCCAGAGGGTGTACCATGAGTAGAACACCATGAGGCTCCACGCCATCCAAAAGGTCGGTTTTGTAGTCATGTTAAGCCGCATGCCATACCGGCTTGCCATCTCGTCCATTGTGCTCTCCCACGACTCCTCCGTCATGCGAATACTCTCCTCGCGAGTGTAGGGGTACTTTGGGTCAAAAATCTCCTTCGGGTACTCAAACCACTCAATGTGGGGGTTGAAGTCCATTGGGAGGAGGGGCTCGCTGTGCGGCACGGCGGGGGGCTGCGGCTGGCCACTTCGTGCGATCTCCTTGTGCTCCGTCGACACGCCGCGGCGCAGGGTTGTCGCCACGGTGGCCAGCGAGGCGCCAAGCAGAGCGTCCACGGCGCCGACAGACGACCGACGAAGCATTAGAGCTAAACAAGAGCGGGGGCGCGTGCTGCTAATGGGGGCGGAGTATGTGGATTGCGCGCGTGTGCGCGTCCAGCGGCAGTCAGACTGTTTCTACAAACACCACCGCCAGCGCCGGCGCCAGCAGCGGCTGCAACAACAACAACAACAACAACGACTCCCTTAGACAAAAAGAAGAAGCAACAAACAAGAAAAAGAAAGAGGCATCCATGACCCATTTTGCATCACTCCGCCCCCATGCTGTCGCGTGTCTTCTCTCAATTGCCGCGCCACTTGTCTCCTCCACCTCTTCCCCCCCTCCCGGGTCACGCGTCTGGCTTCAACATCACCCCCTGCCACACTTCTCCCTCGTGCCCGCACGGCCTCTCTCTGCCTTTATAAATGTCCGCATGCATGCACGCCCGCACCGCTCTCGTCCCGCTAAACGAAGCTACTGACCACTGAGGTAAAACTAAGAGAACTCGCTTTACTAAACCGCCCTCACCAGCCAAACTCCCCACGACGCTTCTCCTCCTCAACATGCCGTGGCGAGTTCACAAGCCACTTTCACAACAGCAAGAGAATAGGCAAAAGCCAATAAGGAAACAATGCTGTGGCGTCGACACATGAGAAATTCGACCGCAAATTGACCCCCCTCCCTCTCCCTGATCGATACACACGCAGGTGTAGATACATAGAAAAGTGTCTCATAGTGGCAGCACGACAGCCAACATCAATGACTTGCCTTCCTCTCTCTACTCCCCCCTTGTCTGCCGTGCTAGCGAACCACCACCCGCGCCTTCAGCACCTCAGCCACCCTCGAAATTGGGCCAAACGCTCTCCATCCCAGCTCTTCCTAAAAAAAAAAACAATAGAAAGAAAGTAGGATAAAAAACAAAAACAACACGTACAACCGCCTCCACGGGATGGCTTTCGGGTTTCCGTAGCAGGAGACACAGCGGCAAACGGTCTTCGACGAGAGGGGTTAAATGTCATGCTTCGACGCCCATCCAGGCGGTCCCCACGACGCATCATTAAAACCTCGCCCGATGTTCCAAGCAGACATCAGCGACGTGCTCAAAAGTGTCCCGCACGGAATTGTGGTCCATGGCAGATGCGTGTCCCGGACGTCAGTAGCCGCATGCCCTCACGCAAACTGGGAGATCCTCCTGCACCGCCATCCCGGCCTCTGGCAGTAAATCCGTCTTGGAAACGATGTGGAAAATGGGAATACTCAGCTCCCCCAACGACGTGTGTGCCGATGAGGTCGCTGTCGAGGGTGTGTGTGTGTGTGTGTGGTGGGTAGGGGGGGGGGCGTGACTGTGTGCACACAGCCAACTCCACCAAGTGGGGCCTTTCTAAGCTTCTATGCGTTCACGGACTGGTGGACGAGGGCCGTTGTGTGTTCTCCACAGCCGTCATCAACGGCTCCATTTTTTGTTTCTTTCCTTTTCCTCCTCCTCCTTTGTCATTAACGTGAAGTACTCATACACCACAGTCAAAGAAATGAGAGGGCTTCTAAAAGGGCTGCCGCATCCCTCCTGAGACACGCGGCAACAGCCATCCCTCGCGCCGCCTCTAGTCGCTCAATGGCTTTGTAGTTCTGCTGCAACGCCGCTGTGAAGATCGCAGGGCAGGATGAACACCCGACGCGTGGGCACCCACTGCCGCGCGTTTCATCACTCAAATGAGCCCCGCTTCCACGCTGCTCCGCGGTGGCTGCTCCCGTCGTTCCACCGCTGGCGGCGGAAGTCGCGGCTTCCGCCACCACCTTTCTCTCCTCAAGCTCCTTCTTTACCTCCTCAAGGACACTGAGAAGCCTCGGTGCGAGGGCAACCCCGTCACACGTCAAATGCGACAGCGTCAGTGCGTCCTCGTGAATTTCCCTCGGCGCGTCACCGTGCCTCGGGGGAGCGCCGGTCGTCTCCCCACCTCCTCCTGCGCACTGGGCGACACCGTCAGTGTGCAGGTGGTTTCTGACGCCGCTCTCAAACCCGCTCCCGATTGACATGTTTGCGGCAGCCAGCGCTCGCACGTGCTCGCCGCCACCAACGCCTGAGGGCGGTGCGGCCTCGGAAGCGTTCGTGGCGCCCTCCTCTGCCCCGCGTAACCGCTTTCTTGGTGCGGCGGCGGCTGTTCCGACCACGAAAGCCGAGGGACTGCCCCCAGCTCCCAACGCCCGCCCCGCCGCTGCCATTGCCGTCACTGCGTGTGGTGGTGGCGGCTTGCCGGACTCCGCGGCGCCACGCAGGAAGGCCTGCACCCGGAGCTCCAACTGCTCCACCTCGAGCCCGCGTCGAAACGCCTCGGCACGGATCCAGCGCCACATCTTCAACTCCTCCACAAATGCCTTACCCTCCATCCACGCAGAGACCGTCATGTTGCCCACCGCCGGCGGTGACGGCGGACGGCAACCGCCAACGCCGCAGCAGCCGTCCGCCGCGTTCCTCTCGCTGCTGCCATCACCCGCGGTGGAGCTAAGCGTCTGCACAAGCGAAAGCACACGCTTCGCGTTGAGAAACAGTGTCGTGGGTGTAGGGTTCTCGCAGAACTGAATGTCGTGCAGGGAGACCACAAGCGACCCCGCCGTTTCCCCTGCACAGCCACTACTTGGGGTGTTAAAGATGGCGTGCAGAAGAACCGCGATGTCGCTCGCCGAAAAGTCACCAAAGGCACCGAACTTCCTGTGGAAAATCTCTGCCGCCCACTGGAGGATTGCCACACGGGCATAAATACTTCCCTCTTGCGGATCCGACATTTCCGCTTGCCATACACTCACAACAACTGAAGAAAGGATGGGAAAAAACAAACAATCCCAACCCCCACCCCCAACCGCACACAAAAAAACAATAGCAACGAAAAAAAAAAGGAAATAATAAATAAACAACGTCAAAAACTCAAATTAGCGAGCCAAAACACAAGAAACAGGAAGCTCATAACAATCAAAAAACAACAGCGCACACACAACGCAACCAAAAACAAAATTTGTACGTATCCGGCAGGCGTGCCCCTCACAGGCTTACACAAACAACACAAGACACACGCGTCCCCACATTCATCAGGCGCCCTCACAGCAGGCAGAACCTTCGTTTGGGCAGCAGCCACAAGAGCAAGACTCATCCACGCCACACAAAGACGAAAGACCAACATACAGTGCACACATGTATGCGAGTAAAACAAAAAACAAACAGCAAGGAACACATCACCGCGCTCAACCGCAGCAGCGCAGAGAGACGCCTTCAGCACGGCCCGCAGCGCGTCGTCCACGTCTGCAGGGGGCGGCACCGGCTCCACCAGCCCATGGCGCAGCGCCTCGCGGAACGCCGCACTGTCGGCCAGCAGCGAGTCAAGTTCCTTCCGTGAGCGATCCAGCGCCGCAGTCGCACTCCACTGCCAGGGGTGGGAGTCCACCAGCATCGCAAGCAGCAGCAGCCCCAGCGCGTACATGTCGCTCGCTGCCGTCTTTGCTCCCCCGGCGGCCACCTCGGGGCTCACGTAGTACGACTCGTGGTGCACCATCAGCGGCGCGGCGCCCAGCAGCATGCCCTTCAGTCGGCACCGCCCCTCCACGCCAACCATCACGTTCTCAGGACAC